CGCATAGAAAGAGTGTTCGAACGCAACTGCGTTTATGCCATAGAGGGTGGTTACTGTTGTTATGTAGTAGTTTTGCCCTGTTTGTCGTCTTTCGAAAGACGTCAGTCTGCAGTGCTCCGCCTTCCTGCCTCGACAATTGAACATCAAGCAAAAGCATTTCTCCGTTCTTTTCTTCCACTATTGTAAGTTTTTATTTCCGAGAAAATTGAGGTTAGTGATCTCTGACAGGTCTACTTCTCACCTCGACGCAGGATAACGAAGGTCTCATCCACGTAACGCATCCAACATTTAGGTTTGTGAGACTAAAAGACCTGCGTTCGTTGTTTCTGCAACACCGCCTCAGCGATATAGGCCGAGATGGGTGAACCCATCGCAGTTCCCTGGATTTGCTCGTAGACCTGTCGTTAAATTTGAAGTACCTGGTCAAGCAGTAGTCTAGTAGCTCCGTCGCGGGCTTCCTTTTGAACTGTTTGTCGTCTTCCTTGTACCTCTTCTCAGGTACGTCCGTAATGACTCCAGTGACTGATTATTTAGGGATAGAAGTGAGCGGCGAGATGACGTCAAAGAACATTATTAGTTAATCCGGGGATAATGTAACACCTTAGGAAGTGTGTTGAGTACCCGGTTGTTTGTACTGAGCTCTCCCTCAGACTATTCAAACGTTGAGCGAGCACTTAGAGAGCCCCTAGTTGGGCGTGCCTTTCAGTGCCAAAATTGGTCTTATGGGAAGGCTTGGCCTGTGGATTTTCGGTAAACTATAAAAATGAGCCATAGCCGCATCCTGTGTTCTCATTTGTCGCCCGTCGGTATCGGATATTGCCTTCTAGTTCCTCATAACAGTCAGGTTTTCATAGTTCTTTTCCCACGAGTGTTTTTGTTAGGACGGCCTAACGAACAGCCTTAGCAGGCAGTAGCTTGCGAAGCATAGCTACACTTTAGCAGGCTATCGATCGGCCTACACGGGCGAGCGTACAAAAGCCGTCAATCAATCGATAATTCAGATTTCAAACTATTGTCATCCACTGAGCCAAACACTATTTCAGAGGAAAATCTGTTTGGCTCAATGGACATAGTTTACACACCTTTGTTTCCCTAAATTTGTTGTACCCCTAACACTCAAAGACTCCTGCCGTTGCACCCTTCTTGCCGTGTTCTCTCTTTGGGGACTCACACACGACGTCATTGGGCAGCAATATCTCGGCCTGGGCATTCGTTACAACAGTTTTCATGGGGTCTGATTCAACGATTCCGTTTGCGTTTTCCCTTTCTTTGGGATGATGAATAATACATATATGTGGGTTATACCTCACTCCTGATATAGGTAGAACAAACAATGAACGTAATTTCATCTCCACCACTTCTCCATTAGAACTGTGATGGTCTGGTTGACTCAGACGCCGTAAGCAGTTCTTCACGAAAATTCTCGGCTATCCGTTAGATCTGAAGCATTGGTTTAAGTAGGCAAGTTTTATTTTAAGTGTGCAATGTGATTCTCTTCGAGCCCCACTAGCCACTGTATCCGATCGGTGAGCACCTATCTGCCTTTGCGCTAATGTCCGATCGAAACCGATATGACAACGAGCTCATGGCCCAGTCGGACTCCCAGCAAACCAGGTCGCGTTTTCTAATCTCGAAGTTGGCCACATCTGGGGGTTAGAAATGGCTGCCTAACCACGGCGAGCGGCTTTTCAACAGTACATTTGCTAATTTTTAGATTTGCTTGGAAGCAGCAAAATGCAATTTGTATGTAGAAGACATTTCTGCTTATGATATAACCAAAAATGCATCAAACAGGTTTTAATGGCCGTACACCAATGTCTACTGCAGATCGTGTGTAAATAATTATAGCGGGTGGCATTCTTAGGGGCTGCGAAGAGTAGATACTTTTTCGCATATTCCGCAATTGTCATATTAAGTAACTCATCTCAACGACATTCTAATTGGCATAGTATCAAGGAACTAATCAATACTGGCATATCCTCCATAGCAAGATTTTGCTTGAAAAGTTGGATATTGACAATGCGTTAGCATCCAACGGCTAAGACCACTGACTATATCACCTAACGCCGGTAGACACAATTGATCAAAATAGTCGAACCCGTATCTGCCTTTTATTTATATACTGTCTTGCTGACTTTGGTCATTCTTACTTGCAGGCCATCACAATGGCGAAAGACGAAAGTCCACTCTATAAAATAACATATAGCACAGATGCCACAAAAGTACTGGTGAGTGTGGTCAATTTACTTCAATACGTGCT